TTGTGTTCCGAAGATGAACGAAGGTCTTACGGGTTTGAAACGACATGAGGGTTCATTTTTGGGTGAACTATCCATTTAAACCAGGGCTGTCCAAACTCTGTCCTGGAGGGCCGGTGTCCTGCAGAGTTTAGCTCCAACCCTAATTAAACACACCTTTAAATTCATGTCTTTTTATACTTTTTAATATGTGAACATTTTGGTTTGTGTGGACTTTCAGTGGATGGACTGACATATGAGAGAATATTAAAAAGATCACCTTTTGTGATTCTAAAACGAACTAAAGTGGGTTTGGAAATGTCATAATGGTGAGTATGAGTGAGTGAGTTGGGGGAAGTCGTGGCCTAATGGTTAGAGAGTCGGACTCGTAATCCAAAGGTTGCGGGTTCGAGTCTCGTACCGGCAGGGATTGTAGGTGGGGGGAGGGAATGTACAGCGCTCTCTCCCACCTTCAATACCACGACTGAGGTGCCCTTGAGCAAGGCACCGAACCCCCAACTGCTCCCCGGGCGCCGCAGCATAAATGGCTGCCCACTGCTCCGGGTGTGTGTGTGTTCACTGCTGTGTGTGTGCACTTTGGATGGGTTAAATGCAGATCACTAATTCCAAGTATGGGTCACCATACTTGGCCACATGTCACGTCACTTTCACTTTTTTTTTATATGGTGAAAGAACTGTTATTTTGATTGAACAATTGTCCTCAAATTTAATTGTCATAATAGGGTTCCAAGAGTGCAGCTACAGTCCAAAGGCACTTTTTTTTACTCCTTCAGAAAAAAAAGTACCTACTAGAAAGTATGTGATTTCGATTTATGAATGAGCCATTGGATCCTTCACTCAACCAGTTCATTCCAAACATCAATGCATTCAGCAGCAGCATTACTTTGTGTTGCTCAGTGTTTCAGCATCAGAATGGCTGTGATTATCTACATATAAGCATATATATGACGTGATGTTAAATTTCATGCAATGGTCATTTGTTTCAGGTTTAAAAATCCTCACATCAGCTGCTGCAATTGCCAGTAGCGTTACTATGTACCACCGCAGCATGCGTATTTATCTTCCTGAAAAACACAAGATGAGCTGGATCTCCACTGGCGTCTACTTCCTGTGGAACTTGTTGGTGATTATTCCCCGTGTAACTGCTCTGGCACTCTTCTGCAGTGTATTGCCATGCTACATCATAGCTCACTTCCTGTCCTTGTGGATGCTGCTGGTTTTAGTCGCCTGGAGCCAGAAAACAGATCACATGAAAAGTCCTGGTTGGGAATGGCTCTTCAGAGCTGCTGTTGGACTCATCTGGTACTTCTGCTGGTTTAATGTAACAAAAAAAAGCATCAAATTAAAGATGGTTCTGTATTATAGTTTCATGGCTTTGGACACAGTGATGCTGCTGGGCTTCTGGTGCTGGAAGGTGTTTGAGTATGCAGGCTGCTGGAGCTCCTTAAATCCTTATAAAGTGATCCCGACACTACTAGGCTTGTACGTCACTGGAATACTACTGAAAATGATATATTACAGATGCTTTCATTCCAACGGTGATAGAGAGAAAATCACTGAACCCACTGAAGGGAAGTACAGAAGAGCTGCAGCATATGACATGGACACAGACTTGACCCCAGAAGATGCAGCTGCAGCTCCTGCGCAGCCTCTCACTGGAGTCCTCAAGAGGAGCAGGACCATGGCTGCTAATTTCTACTTCTAGCTCTTGGTTGAACTTTTAAAGTTTTATATAATTTTTTTTTTTATAGAGAGAATACCTGGTTTTGGTGGAAATAACTTTGACAAAAATAGAAACTTTATCTTATTTGTCTGAAAAATAAAAAAAAATCTTATTTTCTAATGTTATGTTCATATATCTGATGGTGTTCTGATGATGTTATTACATTCACACCAATTTCACAGGTCTGTTTTGGTGGCTTTAGAAAAGCACAGACAAATGTATTCCAGTTGTTCTGTTCGTTCCAACTCTTTGCTAATTAAGTGTCAAAAGGGATGACGAGTCTACATTACAACTGAAATCAAAAGATTTTGGGTTTAAATGTGTCCTGGAGATGTCTTCATTCACACAGTTATGAGTCAGAGATGAACAAGCCAAGCAGGTAGGCCAGCCTCAAAGTATTTAATGAACGTCACTTACACAAAACCATAAACAGCGTAAGTACAGATATTTGCTTCAGCCAGTTTCAATAAGCCAGAAGTTCTCCTACTGATCTAAAAGCTCAAGCTCAGGGCTAGATCGAGCATTTATTCTCTGGCTAAAAGAGCCATTACATCCCTTGATTGTCTATGCATTAGTAACAAATCCCAAGATCTCACAATGATAGTGTCATGTATCTTCAGTTAATGTAGATAATAGACAGTATACAGGGACTAAATCTTTTTTTTCCCTGAAAAATGCAGGAAACAAAGTAGGACATAGGGGGAAAAAAGCACCAGAAGAATAGTTTTTATGATTCAAGTTAAAGAACAGCAGCATCTGATTGGCTGAGCTATAGCGAACATGATTTCTGCAGAAAAGTTGTCAGAGCACATCAAAAGTACCAAACTAAAAGAAAACAACAGATAACAGCATAGGCCTACGAGTCAAAGGAAACGCTTCACCAGAAAAACAAACAATACAAACATATGTTTGTCATATTGCAAATGTTTGTCATATTTCAGTAATTCCCTTTTAAGATAATACACTTACTTTGAATGTTGATTATAGTTAAAAGGCACAATATAAATATATACAGGAAAAAAAACACACAGACACACACATCTATGCAAACAAATGAAGATTACACATTCTTAATTGTCAAAGCTGCTTGAGTAAAAATGCTTTTTCTTCAGGCTCAGTAATGTTCAGTCAAAATCTCGCAGCGGTTAGGAATATTACACCCAAACCTGCTCGTAAAACCACCTTCAACCAAAATTGAAAATCAATTATCACTGACCAGAAATGTATTGCACACTATCACACAGTTTTTCTCCCAAACATGTACAAATGAAAGAAAACGGTCACAGGCTGGGGCCCTGTAGCTTCAAATCCATGGGGAATTTTGGCTATATGCAAGAGGTACTTTTACAAAATCCCACTCAGCCATGTGACTTTCCTCAGGGGACGAGAATTCAGTTAGTTCATGTGGCTCATAATTGCATTATAGACATTTAACATGGGACAGTATCCAGGAGCCTATGTTCCCCTCAAAACATCACCTTGATATGGATTTTTAAAGAAATGGCTCAACCAAAAATAAAAAAAGTCATGGTTTTGTTGATTCAAACCCATAAAACTCAACTTTCTTAACACAAAAATGCTGCTCTTTTCCATACAGTAAAACGTGAGTAGAGACAGGTTGCTGAGATCCAACAGTTTTCTGAAATCATCAAAACACTAATAACCGAGTTAGACTTTAGAGCTAAACAAAGGGGAAGACTGTTTGTAAACCATTTACATTGAGGTCTGTACTCAATATGACTTCCATCAGATAACACACACTAGATGTATTTGACTTATGGTGATTTTTGGAGTTTGAAGTCCACTTTTCCATTCAAATTTCATTGTATGGAACAGAGCAGCGTGGACATCGGAACAACAGTAACAAATAATTTGAATTCTCATTTTTGGGCGATTTATTCTTTTAAAGAAAAAGAGGGACAAACTGTACAAAAACAAATGGTTTCCATTAGGCACTCGTAATTCGTCATATTGCCTAATTTAAAGCAGAAATGAAGTGTGTATGAAGAGTAAACGAAAGCAGATCCCAAGAACTGAGGAACATTTAGGAAAATCCATAGATACAGGAAAAGTGGGATCTATGCTAACCTTGTTGGTACCATCTGTACACATATTAAACAGGCCACGTCTGCGATCCGTTTTAAGAACTGAAATAATCGCATCATTTCTTGGAGGCTTCTAAAGCATGTAACCTGCCATCTAATAAGAACCTGACCTTTGGAATGAGTGCAAATCAAAATGACTGCAACTTACTTTTCAGCCCTTTAGAAAGAATGCAGAAAAAGACTTAAACTAAGTTTAATCCTAAGTTTCTGTGCCAGTGCAGTCCTTTGGTCATTGGTCAATGTTCCTTTGGTGAAACCAGTTATGTTGAAGATGGTAAAGTACATCCTTTTTCCAAGAGAAAGATGCAGTGAGAATGGGAGACAGTTTTTTCCTCTTTTCCTTGTGTACGGTTGTGTGGCGTCCCAGTGCAAGAGTCAACCTAAGGGGAGGATAGCTGCCATTGAGGGAATGGAGGGCTTGTGAAGTCATGTCACAGACCGTCTTGAGTTCTTGTCTGTGACCGCTAACGTCCCAGAGTCTACGTCAGCTGCTCCACGGCTGCGCTGGATCAGGTTAGGGGTGGATGGGATTGCTGATGGGTGCAGCTGGAGAGATCCATGTCTTACCTCCAGCTCCATCTATAAGAAGTCCAGTTCCAGAGCTTGGTGAAGGGAAATCAGGTCTCCGTGAGACGAGATTCGCCAAAACGGCATGTTGTGCTAAAGAGTGATGGTGCACACAGATTAGATCAAACATACACAGATCAATAAAGAGAACTTTCAATGAAAATGTAAATCAATAGAATAAAGCAACATTTGTGAACCTTTTCATCAGGCCTATTCAAATTGGAGAGTTGGAACGTTACTAAATGCGCTAGCTTTTAAAAGTTTGCGGTCAGCAATAGGGCTGGGTTTTGACACAAATTTCACGATTCAATTCGATTCTCATTCACAAGCTTGCGATTCAATTCGATTACCGATTCGATTCAATATTGATTATTTTGGTTATATATCTGGTACACATGCCAAATTTTCTCAAGGAAAAAAAAAATCAACTATTGCTGTAAAATATACATGAGAGTCATTTGGTACTACATTACTATAATACTGAAGGTTAAAATTAATGAAGTTTTTACAATAATAAAGTTACAGTTGCATAATAATATTTCTACTTCAATTCGTTTTTGTTTTTTTAAAATATAAACATAATGGTGGCTGTCATAAAAACTTGATGGATTTATTCAAACAAATTAAACATTGAAGAACAGTAAAAAATATAATGAATATGTTATATGGTTCATATATTAAGCAAAATGTCCCTCCCTACAGTTTATTTTTCTATATGACTGAGTTTAGTCACCGAATATGTTTTTTTTTTTTTCTGAGGTAAATGTGACGTTACGTGACATTGTTTACAAGCCGTTATATTGATGTCTTTGCGAGGCTGAAACACTGATTGAGCAATTACATGAGACAGGATACAGATTGTAAAGTTGTACTCTTTCTTTTAACTTGCCTTCGGATATTTAGTCATGTTTATTTTGTGCTGAAACTGGTATTAATGTGGAGGAGATGATTAGTTCACGTGTCTGTTGAATTGAGGCGCTACAGCGATCTGTCACTCCACATTAAACACTGCCAAAACAGCATTTATTGTTTGAACAGACAGAATTTGAAATCTGAGACTTTGTTTCATATTAACAGTACCAACGCACAATGCTTATTGTGATATATTGGATGGGAAGTACCCTTCAATGTTCCATCCATTAACTGAAAACAGGCTAATAGACTAATCGATTCTTGGGATTTAAGAATCGATATCGTTCCGTAAAAATGAGAATCGATTAATATATAGACATCGATATTTTTTACCCAGCCCTAGTCAGTAAGGAATTTCTATTCTTCTATTTCTAAGAAAGAAATTAATACTTTTGTTCTGCAAGGAGGCATGAAATTAATCAAAAGTGACAGTAAATACATTTATAATGTTACAAAAAGATTTATATTTTTAATAAATGCTGTTCTTTTGAACTTTTTATTCATCAAGTATTCTTGGAAAAAGAAGTACCACAGTTTCCACAAAAATAATATGCAGCAAATCAGAGTTTTGTGACACTGAAGACTGGAGTAATGATGCTGAAAATTCAGCTTTACCATAACAGAAATAAATTACATTTAAAAAAATGTAATAGAAAAAAAAGTTAATTTAAATGGCAATAATATTTCACAATATAACTGTTTTTACTGTATTTTGGATCAAATAAATGCAGCAAAAGAGACTTCTTTCAAAAACATTTTACTCATGTTTTCTTAATGTTAGTGTATCTTGTGTAAATAATTTAGATCATAAAGTTTGGGAACCCCTGAATAGCAGTATCATCAGGAATATTTTGCAATGGCATAATAGGAGGTATTATATTGTGATATGATCACATTGATAGGGGTATAAAATGTCCAAATGCTGGTATTGAGATTGTACCTGCTTTGCTGCAAACTCTTCATCACGACCGTCCCCGATAACAACATAGGTCACTTTCTTCCCAAAGCGAGAGATGATGCGCTCAAAGCAGCTCTCTTTTCCTGTTTAACAGCAGTTACAGATAATGTGTTACACATAACAGGTACATTTATCCTGGTGCTCAGTTTCAGGTTGATACCAATGATTTTAAAACAAGAGTTCACCCAAAAATGAACATACTGTCATCATACATACATTAACCCTCATCACATTCAGAACCATACATTTTATACTGTGGAACACAAGGTGAATTTCAAAGAACATCCTGATAAAGTCCTCTGAAGCCATATGATATCTTATGGTCTTTAGTAGAGTTGAAACAATTAGTCGATATAAAAAAAAAAAAAAAGATTGTCGACAAATATTTTTGTTGTCGAGTAGTCCTTTGATCTCGTATGACCTAATGTAAGAGCCTGCAT